GCCAGTGAGCGCACTGGCCATCCCTATATAGGATCCGAACCCGCGGCAGGAGTGCTGCTGCACACCCAAGCGCTGCACTCTCCTGAGTGCGCCACGGGGCCGGCCCCAGAGCAAGCACTCTTGATGACATCCTGTCTCTGCAGCTACTGAGAGAGAATATCCTATTATTATTGGTGAGAAGAAAAGTATTACAAAGATCACCTACTGATAGAAAATCATGACTATCAGAGAAGTTTTAAATTTATTTAAGATATCATGCTGACACAAATACACGCACACAGTAGCACATTCTAGACAGATAACAGGAAAGAATTAAATGCTGTTTTAAGCAATTATGGTTCTTAATTTGCTAATGACATGCATAATCATCCTGTACTATGTAGATTGAGCTCATGACAATTACTTATATTCTTAAAATACCAGTTTTCACTTCCTGCAGTCTTACTTTTATACTAAAGCAGTTGTTCCCAACCAGGGACATTTTTGATCCGTCTGCCAGGGACAATTTGGCATTATCCGGAGATATTTTTTGTTTGTCTGTCACAACTGGGGAGAGGAGTGCTACTGGCATTTAGTGGCNCCCCTCGGACGGGAGCGCCGCCGCGCTTCCCAAGCGGCGCACTATCCAGTGCGCCACCGGGCCGGCCCAGCATCTTCATTTCTAACTAGCAAACCCAGATGGCAGTTATCAGAGTATCACTCTGTCACCACCAGAAAAGACCATGTTTGAATCTGGGGAAATGGCAATATCAGGTAGTTTTGAATTTTTCCAGAAAAGTGGTTAAAAACAAAACAAAACAAAACACAAGATAGGTGCTTCTGGGCCGGCCTGTGACTCACTCAGGAGAGCGCGGTGCTGATAACACCAAGGCCACGGGTTCAGATCCGATATAGGGATGGCCAGTTGACTCACTGGCTGAGTGTGGTGCTGACAACACCAAGCCAAGGGTTGAGATCCCCTTACCAGTCATCTTATATCATGCTGACACAAATACACGCACACAGTAGCACATTCTAGACAGATAACAGGAAAGAATTAAATGCTGTTTTAAGCAATTATGGTTCTTAATTTGCTAATGACATGCATAATCATCCTGTACTATGTAGATTGAGCTCATGACAATTACTTATATTCTTAAAATACCAGTTTTCACTTCCTGCAGTCTTACTTTTATACTAAAGCAGTAGTTCCCAACCAGGGACATTTTTGATCCGTCTGCCAGGGACAATTTGGCATTATCCGGAGATATTTTTTGTTTGTCTGTCACAACTGGGGAGAGGAGTGCTACTGGCATTTAGTGGCCAGGGATGCTGCTAAACATCTTGTAATATACAGGACAGCTCCCTCCTCCAACTCCCAACAAAGAATTATCTGGCCCAAAATATCAATGGTACTAAGGATAGGAAACCCTGAGCTGGCTGGTTAGCTCAGTCAGTTAGTGTATTCTGTTATAACACCAAGGTCAAGGGTTTGGATCCCCGTACAGGCCAGTGCCCCCCAGAAAAGAAATCTTGTAGTAGAGATTGCAAATTTGTCATCTCTCATGGGCTAAATCTGATATATACATGTTTTTATTTCAACTACAATATTTCTAAATTTTAAATTAGTTGCCAACATGCAAATTTCTGGTTTCTGATGAAAATGTGGTTGATATGGCAATTCTGGGCCTGTATTGCAGCAGGGTTTTGTACTCTCCAGTTTCTACTTTCTCCTATTTTACACCTTCCCCATTTGACTCATTTATGTTTCCTGACAGCCCCTATAGGCATTTGGGCTTGTGCTCTTTGTTCTATACCTGTACTCTAAATGTTAGGCACAAAGCAAGAACCCTTAGGTTTAGGCTATGATCCCTCCTCTGTGATTTCCTAGAACCATTCCATGTTATCTGCTGCTGCTCTTTTCCCCGTTCTCTAACAGTAACCATGACTCAAAACCCAACTTTTGCCTGCCTTGACTCATCCCCAAGTTAGCTGCTTAACATTGTTCAATAGCATTACTTTTGTGTACTGATTGAGCAAGTGATTTGAGATTGTCCAGTGATTCATAAGACAGATCCTCCAGTTCCTTCTTGGGATTTGTAGGCTGTTCTGGAGATTCTTCTAAGTCCTGCTGTGGATCCCTGATGCCGAGTTGCGTAGTTTCACAGATGCTGCAGAATAAATTAAAGCATTATGAGACTATTTTAAATGAAAAAAAGCATGGTATAAGGTTTAAGAATGGTCTTAGGGCTGGCCAGTTAGCTCAGTTGGTTAGAACACAGCCTTAGAACTCCAAGGTGATAGGTTTGGATCCCCGTACAGGCCAGCCGCCAAACAAAACAAAAATGGCCTCAACATTTTCATTATTTTATATGAGCGCTAAAGGGAAATTTCTAGGGGAAAAACTGATGGGAATTAGCGGAGGGGCCACTAGGACTTAAGAAACAAAATTGAGAATAATGGAGATGCTATACTTTTCTCCTTTTGACTTATACAATATCAAAGTGGGTTATAGAGGAGGTGGTGCTAATGAGTTATCTTTAAGGAATGCTAGAAAAAGTTTCATCATTTTATAAGAAGTCAAAATATACATGATTTTTCTTAAAAAGTAAAGTGTTAGTACTTTTGACTGGGGGGAGCTGTCTAGTTAGGTCAGTTGCTTAGAGTGTAGTGCTGATAACACCAAGGTCCGGCGTTCCATCTCTGTACCACCAGCCACAAACAAAACAACAAAAAAAACTTGACTTGTGGCATTGGAACTGGAATTGGAAAATGATCTCTTTCAAGTTGAAGGAATCTAAACCTAATATACATATACAGTGCATAGATTTTATTCACAACTGAACTACTCTCTAAATTCAAATGTGTTACTTGGAGATTTCTGGATTAGTTATTGTATGAATACGGGAATGTGAACCCAAAGTATGAGTGGCTGTTCTAAAGTTTCCTCCCAGTGACATTACGGGGGATGACAACTTAGCGAGTTGCAGAATGATAGCATCTCAAATTACCTGGGACAATCCTTGACTTTAGCTTACTTGCACTGTACAGCCTGGGTTCCTTGACCCTTGTTCCTCACAAAGTCTTCCTCCAGCCCAGCCTGCTTCAGGGTGTCTCGATATCGTTGTTCTGCTTCTTTCCTGGCAAGATCCTGTGGAATGGAAATTATTCTGCTGTAGCTGTCTTGTAAATTAGCAGATAATTCCAAATTACTTGCTTAGTACATCCTTACAATACTATCCCTACCTCTGCTGCCCTTAGTGTTGGGCATAGATTTGTATGAAAATTACTGAGAGCCTTGTTTTCAAGCCTTAATGTGTACATGAACCACCTTAGGATCTTGTTAAAATGCAGATTCTCATTTTGTAGGTCTCAGATGGGGCCTGTAACTCTATATAACACACCCAGGAGATGCCAGCTGTTGATTTGGGAGCCACATCTTTGAAAAGCAAGGACTTTGGCAAGACCAAGTGAGACCCGGGTGGAAAAAGATGGACTAAAACCATTCTAAGATTTAAAAGCAACCAATCCATCATCAAGAATACTAAAATATAAAAAATTGAAAATAAGGTGCATTAAAAACATTCTAAACAAGATAGATGGTCTGTATGTGGACCAGACGAAGGTTATTTTCTGTTTAAGTAGTCAAGAGCAAAATCATAGAGTACTTTGTATTTTTCCTAGAGTGGTGAAAGATCTGTTGTGATCTAAAGAGTGAGCTTGCTTGAAACAAATTAACAAAGAGAATAGATCAGCATGAGAGATTTTGAACAATGGAAGTTGCTAGGTAATCCCAGACAGTGCAGAGTGTGTGTGAGAGAGATACAGGTAGGGAGGAGTGGACCCAGCAAATCCTTAGATAATGCACTAATTGTAAAATGAAGCTAATGCCCAACAATTGGAACTACTAGGAGCCCCCCCCCCTTTTGTCTGAAACTGGGGAGGAAAGGAATTCACAGAGACATTCAGCCTAAAACTGTCTGGGACGGTGGCCTTTCTGGGCTGTTCAAGTAGCTACAGCACTTCCTTAGGGAGATTTCAATTGAATCTGGCTTCTCTAAAAATCTAGAGAATATCTTAAAATGATTCTCCCAGCCTGAAAGCACTTAATCTGGAAAGAGCCTTGTGGGGTGTTTTGAGCATCCTAACCCTTAGAGTTCTATAAATGTACCACAGTTCCAGAGGCTGGGGATGCCCAGGGGCACCAGCACTGCTGCAGGAGAGATGCCTTCCCAGGACTGAACGATGGCTCCAGACAGCAGAAATAGCAAAACAGTCACTCTGTCTCTAGGATCTAACCCCCACTCTGATTCAATCTGAAAGCTCAACTACAGCAGTCCGCCCTTATCGGCAGTTTTGCTTTCCATGGTTTCAGTTACAATCAACCATGATCTGAAAATATTTTGAGAGAGAGCATATTCACATAACTTTTATTACAGTATGTTGTTATAATTGCTCTACTTTGTTATGAGTTATTGTTGTTAATCTCTTACTGTACCTAATTTATAAATTAACCTTTATCATATATATGCATGTATTGGAAATAACAGGGATCAGTACTATCCATGGTTTCAGGCATCCACTGGGGGTCTTGGAATGCATCCCCCATGGATATTATAGATGCCTTTGGAGTCCAGTCTTGGATGAAATCAGCCTAAGCAGCATTCATCATTGTACTACTTATTCTGGGAAAAGATGACAGTAATAAAATGGGCCCAATTTAGAATTTTTGAGCCTCAAGGAAATGTTTAATACCAACATATTAAAATTATTTCATAATTTCTAACAGCCCTTTCATCCAAGGCAGAAAAAAATGAGTGATGGATTAATTTTACCTTAGTAACTTGTTCGAAGAGATAGGGCCTTGTTTGTATTCTCTTCCTCATTTCCTCCAATTCTTTCTTATACTCTTTGGCTCTTTTACGGTCATTGTTCCTGGAATTAACAAGATTTCTAGAAAAAACATTATCTTTTCCAATCCAGTATACCCTTCATTTCAGTTAAGCAGAGCAATTCCCATGTACATTATAAATTCCTGTCTAGCAAAATCCTTGACTCCCTGCAATTACAGACGACTACCTAAAAACTCCATTTTGTCAGATTTCAAGGCCAATGATTTGCTGAATCCCAAGACAGGCATCCCTTTGACACATGGAGGACACTGACCGGTTCTCTTTCAACTTTGTTTTGAACACCTCCTCCAGGCTTTTATGGGGATCCATGGCTTTTGCACGCAAGGTCACCGATTTAGACATCTCTTGACACTTCTTTTTGTGCACCTCCAACCACTGAGGAGTCTCATCTGCTTTCTCCCTTTTTTCAAGTGAATTTCTAAAGGGGAGGCCAAAAAAAAAAAGTACAGATGACCTACTTGGGTATTTTTAAAAGCAATCTTGGTAACCTCTCTGGAAAGTAAGTTGGTGTTTTCTATGAATAAGGCAGATAATTTACCATAGCTGGAATTTTCAGAAAGATTAAGATCCTGGGATTACACTGGCAGATGAAGCCTTTCCAGCACTATGGACACAGTGATTTATCTCCCACCCCAGAAGCTGTTCATTTATTGAAGTGGAGAACATGTGAATTAAAACATTACTTAAACAGCCAAACACTTTAGGTCTTTTTTAGGCTTCTTGCCGGTCTGGAAACAAAATAATACTAACAGGTACCATTTGTTGAGCTACCTAACATGAACCAAGTATCATTACATCCATGTAACCCTCACAACTGCCTTATTAGGTAAAGAATGTAAGTCCCCTTTTTATAGGTGAGGAGATTGAAGCTCAGAGAGGTTAAGCTGCTTGCTCAAAGCTGCCCAGCATGCCAGTAGAAAAGCCAGAATCTCTGACTCTGAAGCCTTTGCTCTTGATCACTGATATAAACAATGGCTGGAAGGTGCCTGGGTTCATGGTCCTTTGGAATACAAATCTGCATTTCCAAAGAGAACTGGATGGTTAGAGCTTGGTGTTATAACACCAAAGTTCAAGGGTTCAGATTCCTACACTGGCCAGGCACATACAGACAAAAACAGAAAGAGAACTGGAAATGGGCCTCCTTCAATGCAGATAATTTGGGGTCAACCTGCAGCACTTAGTTTGTGTAATTATCATTCTATAAGGTATAATGGAGAGTTCTACCAAAAGGAAAAACAATCAAGACTCTTGCATTTGGATGTCAACATTCAAATGGGCAGATGAGGAAGGGCATGAAAGTTCAATCTGCTAATATGTCAGACTCTCTACTGCTGGAAAGCAGACATGTACTACTCCTCCATAGGTGAGCCAGCCTCTTGTTCATAAGGCCAGCCTTATTGGGCCCTCAGAATACTGTTATGTTTAGCCTTGATTTAGTAGCTCTGTGAAATTTGAGGAAGAAGGGAGTATCCTTTGGATCCTAAATATGTTTCTATGAATAGGTTCCTGGTACTCCCCTGAGCCCCATGGGAAGGTATGAAGATGTTCGTCCTTTCCTAGAGTAAAGCCACTTGTCACACCATGGCCTCTCCTGCTTACTTGGGCTCAGAGGCCTAGTGGAGGAACTGAGGAACTCTTGCTGGGAGTCTGGCTCAGTGAGAACAATACCAGGACAGTGTCAGGTCAGTTGAGATACAAATAAGTAGGCTCCTGCTTCCCAACTGACTCTGACATCTCCACAAAATGAATCCCAGAGAATCTCAAATTTGTGCAATGGATGTCTTTATTTATTTATTTATTTTTGTAGCTGGCCAGTGTGGAGATCTGAACCCTTGACCTTGGTGTTATAACACCACACTCTAACCAACTGAGGGCTCATCTTCTTTGTGGTAGGTTCAGCCACCTGCTGTCATGCTTCTCTGAATTCTTGTTCCTCATAGCTACCTTCCTTTTACCTGTGGGCTTTTACCCATGTTGATCTCTCTGGAAATTCTTTCTCTCATCCTTTGTCTGGCTAACTCCTTCTCATTCTTCAGGTTTCACTTTAGACATCTATTCCAAGAGACAACAGACCCCTGTCCCAGGCTGCCCAGTACCCTCAGTCCCTTATACTCTCCCCTCATTACACTACTCACAAAATATGGTAATTGCTTCTTTGCTTTTCTGTATTTCAGATTGGATATTAAACTCTAGGTTCCCTAAGGTGTCTCCCACCTTAACATTGTGTATGGCACAGAGTAAGTTCCCCATGAATATTTGTGGAATTATGGCCAGCTGTTCTCCAGCACCAGGTGTATACAGCCACATGTATTCCTTTCTTGACCAGAGAATTCCCTTTGGCCCTTGAGGTGTCTCTGATAACAGGAGAAGAGGCCCAGCAACAGAGTGGCTTCCACCATTCAGGCCAAGATCAGAGAATCATGAGTCTCATGTGGCCTGACCACTCACCTGACTGCAGATTCCCTCTTTCTGGTTGCATCGGTGATGTGCACAGGGAGGGTGTTGACAGAGAGGGAAGCGAGACCATTCAGAGAACGACTCCTTGGCAGGGGTGTAGCTGGTGGCTGTGGAGAATTCTAGAAGAAATGAAGTCTGGTAATGGTGGAACAGCATTGTGCTTAGTTTCTATCTTAATGAGGATTCAATTTCAGTGAAGGACTGAAAATGAGTATTCATATTTTTCCTGGGAATAGGCAAGGATAATGAAATCTCAGGTTTAATAACCAAGACTTGGATAGCAATCCTGAAGATTTTAATCAAGTGAGAAGTGTTCCTTGGAACTGGTATAGGGACACAAGCAACTGATCCTAACTCCCTGCCTTCCAAACCTGCTTGGACTTATTTCTGCAAAATCTCTCTAGAGAAAGGGAAGGAAAGGAAGTGTTCCTGTTGTCTTGAGTTTACAGGAATATGGATCTACTTACAACTGAAATGGTATTCAAAAAAAGTTAAGACAGAAAAATGTCATTACAAGTGCTTTCCACTGAGCCCCAGGCCAGCCCTGCCTTCCAGGCCTCGGGCCCGACCCACGCATAGCTGCCGGGACTCTTACCCTCCTCTCCCCAGAGGTGGCAACAGCACAGTGCCGCTCGGTGTGATGCAGGTTGGCAGTCCTCAGCAAGAAGGGCTTGTTGCGAGTTGCCTCTCGAGTTTCCCGTCTTTTGGCAGCTCTTCTCTGGAAGGTCTTGTAAAGACCCTCATAGTCAGGGACGACAGGATTCACCAGAGGCCGGAATCCAAAGTCAGCCTGCAGAAACCCAAGCTTTTCCTCCTGGGTTCGGGTGGCTGTGCGGGGCTGTGGGTCAGCCCGGCTATTAGAGGAGTTGATAGGGGAGGAGGCCACCTGGAGCATGTCCAGGGCCCTCATCTGGATACGAATTTTCCTGAAGAGCTCAGCTTCTGTGGAGAAAAAGTCAGGGTGGCGATGGGTGAGAAGGGACCCAGCCTCATACCATAAAGTATGGGGAACTTTCCCTCTTTTAAGCACCAGCAGTAGTGTGCTGAAGCTGATCATTAACTTTTCAGGAATTTCGTGAGCCCCTGTTGACATTAGGTGGGAAGCTTGAAATTGGCCACATTAGGAGTATTTATACCACAGAAAATGGCAAACATTATGAACCAGCTTGCTTTTTTATTTTTCTGGAGAGCTTGTAAATAAACACTGACCAGGACATCACTGCCTGTGCCAATCAGGCTGCAGAAGCAGCTGCCTTTTACCAAGATGAAGCTGGAGGAAGTGGGCCAGTCACCTGCTCTTCTCCAAGGTTTCCCCATCTCAGAGCAAGGTCCCACCATCCACCCAAATGTCCAAGCCCTTTGCCCTAATTATCCTTGACTCCTCCCTCTCTCATCTCATCAGTCACGAGTTCTTCTGTCACTTCCTCTTTAACCTCCCTCCTCTCTATCCTCTTTTCATTGTTCCTGCTACTAGTTCCATAATTTCTCAACTGAATTGTTGAAGTAGCTTCCAATTAGATCAACATCCTTCCAATTTTGCCACCTCCTTTAATTATCTATATGACAATTAGAGTGATCTTCCTGAACTATATATCTGATCATAAGCCACTTGCATAAAACCCTTCAGTGGCTCCCGAATGGCCCTGGATGAAGTCCAATCCCCCTAACATGGCCTACAAGGCCCCTTGGTCTGGCTCATGCCTGCCTCTCCCCACTCTCCCTTGTCTCGACCGTCTACCTTTCTATCCCTTGAATATGCTCAGCTTTCTCTTACCTCCATGCCACATCTATGCCTCATCCTCCCTCTTCACTGAATTAACCATGGCTCATCCTTCAAGGTCAGCCCCAGTGCTCCTTTTCTCTGGGAACCTTTCCTAACTGCTCCCACCCTTACCACACCGTCTGATGAGTCAGGCCCCTCTGCTAGATGTGCCATAGGACTCCCATGCTTCTCCCTGTAATCCTTGTAAATGACTCATCACAGGTGTAATTATTTGTCAGTTATCTGGCTTTCTCACCTGCCTACAAACTCTTTGTCTGTTTCTTCACCATAGAACAGAGGCTGGCGCACCGCACATGCTACTGAAGAGTGAATAAAGCCTGAGTCCTTATTCAGAGCTATACTTTTTGAAATGTGTAAATAGTCATCCCCAAGTAATTCCAGTGATTGTTGCTACCTCACCAGGATGAGGGAGGGGTGGGGGAGCTTTCCTCAGGGGCAGGTGGCTGGCAGTGGCACTGGCTTAACCTGATCCATGGGTATCTCACTGGTTCTCTGCTCCTGCACCTGTGCTGGGCAGAGGCCTTCACAAGCATTCACTGAGAGAGAGGTCAACAAGATTAGCCTTGGGGGACGCTGCAGGGCTCCCCACTGTATTGATAGACATAACCCTCCCTCTCGGTCTGCACTGAGTGCACAGACTCTAGTGGGTCCACCCGAGAAGCTCATCTCCAAGCCAGGCTGACCCCTGAGCCCTAACTACATCCCTACAGTGCCTCTTGGTACCCCCAGGCAGGAGGTGGCAAGGATGTCTTTACCCTGGAGTTTATCTCCCATGGCTGGCTCCAGAATAGACTTGGGGATCCTTTTGGTGGCCTTCTTCTTGGGGACCTTGGCCTTAGTTGTGGAAGCCAAGTCTTTCTGTCGAGCAGCTTCCTTTCTCTGCTGCTCCTTCTCCAGGAAGCTGAAGGGCTTCAAGGAAGAGAGGAGCAGTTCCTTCCTCTTCTGGATCCCTGCCTGCCTCCGGGCCTCGCTCCGCTCCACAATCTCCTGATAGAGAGGGAGGTAGACGTGTGCAGGCACAGGCTGTGCCCGGAACTGCCGGTGACACTCGGCCTCCTCCTGGCCCTGCCTCTGGGCCTGCTGCCTCTCTTGCTCAAAGGAGGCAGGTGAGGCCAGCCACTGGGCCTTCTTCCGGGCCTCACGCAGTGTCATGCGGAATGGCTGTGGGACGGTGATGGATGATGCCCAGGAGCTGACACTTCTGTGCTGAGAGGGAGGCCTGGAGCCTAAGGGGGGCTGGGACTGAGCTCTGGAAATGTTGGAGGGAAGGTTGCTCAGGGAGCTGCAGTGCCTCATGGAGCCACACCTGGGGGAAAAGTAGATCTGTGTGGAGAACAGGGCAATCAGGAGGCCCAGATCCTCCCTAATCCTCCCTTCCTGGGAGGTCACAGCTGACTTCTCAGCCTAACATCACAGCCCCACATGCCTCTATGCCCATAACCCTCCCAGTGAGGCTTCCCTCCTCCCCACAGGTAATTCTAGAAGCCCTAATGGTAAGTCTCTTAGAATTTATCCACAAATTGCCACTTTGCACTCTAATATTTTCATAGAGAGAGAGAACAGTGCAATGGGACAGAGCAGAGCTTTAGAGCCAGCCAGACACAGGTCCAAATCTTGCTTCAAACCTTGAGCAAGATTCTGTTGGAACCTCAATTTCTTCATACGTAGAATGGAAAAAATATATATATCTTACAGGGTTATTGGGAGGAGAAAGTAAATATTAAATGAGATAAGATATACATACATATAATAGACTTGGCCAAGTAATGAATCTTGTTGTCATTCTCAGGGGAAAGCATGTGTGGGAAGGGCATTCCTTTGATCCGTTCCAATGCTTCACTGGACTAAGGGTTGCCCAAAGTGATTTAGGATTGTTGGGTAGGAATTGAAATGGTTGGACACCAAGGCTGATTCTGAGATAAAGCAAGGATCAGTAGCAACTTGCATTGGTGGTTTTTGTTTTATAGAGAAAAAAGACGAGTCCCAGAGCCATGACATGTCATGCCTGGAGTTGGGGAGTAGGGCAGCTATTGAACTGCAGTGACTTACCTCAGAGACCGAGGGTACTGGACCTGTGGCTTCCCCCTGCCCCTGTCTTGGAAGAAACTCTCCAGATCCTCATCATCTTCAGACAGGTCCTTATCACTGTCTGGGTCAGACTGAAAGAGAGACTCCAACAGACACCATCTGCCTTTTTGCTTTAGTACCTGTAGGGTCTCGTAAAAGCTCCCAGTAGAATCAGAAGTAGAATTTGTCTCCTCCTCTGGGCTGAGGAACTCATCCAGTTTGCCAGCCCTGGGCAAAACCAGCCCATCCCCAGACAGCTCCTCTTCTGCTTCTGTGTCTGAGGAGGATTTGGGGGGAAATATCTAAAATGGGATAGAAACAGACTGTGGGTCAAACTATAATTTCAAAGGTATTCAAAACATAAATGTTATTTTATTTTGAATAAATCTCTGTATATAGGGACTGGCGAGAAAAATAAAATGTGTTCCTCGCTCTAAAGAAATTTCACAACCTGGTATATGGGGTGTGCTTGGTTGAAGGGCAGAAAAGGGAAAGCAAAGAGCTAAAGTTGGTTCCCTACTCCATGCAGTACGATAAGGATTTACAGAGGACGTACTCTGAACCATGCATTCTGTCCCCTGCACTCCAGGAATCCTATCCATGACCTTAGCCACACTCTCCATCCTGCCTTACTCGGGTTTTATCTTCATGTTGCCTATCTTCCTTCTCCTGCCTCCACTGTCTACACCTCTGCTTTCCTCATATTCTAATTCCCACTCTATCACTAGGAATGGATGATTAACAGGGGAAATGGTGTGGTCTAGCTGAAAGACCAACATCCTATAAAGTGGGATACCCAACCAGCTTTTAAGTACCTTATTCATTCATAAAATATTTATGGATATCAAATGTGCACTGGACATTTGGCTGAGAACAAGACAAACAAGCTCTTTACTCTCATAAAGCTTACATTGTAGTGAGAGAAGACGACAATATAAGATGATAACATATTCAATGATAACCATAAACACTGTGAGGTTATAGATTGATGGAGTACATATGGGAAGCTTTTTTGTTGATAAAGCCCATCAGAAAAAGGTCACTAGGAATGTACCTATAATAAGTTAGGTTTATTAATTTGCTGCAGTACACATGGAAAACCATAGGGAATGAGGGTGGGGGCATTTTTCTAGGGTTGGCTTGTCCTGATTGATTCTGAGGAGGGTTAGGGGAGGAAGAGATCAACTTTAGACGGGTGCTGTCAAAAAGTGGGCACAGTGTAGTAAGTAGATGAATGAGCAATTTTTATTCAAAAGGTGAGAAGAACATGGTGGGGTGGGGTAATTGATAATGTAAGCATTATCATTTAGAAGAAGGGGTGTTAGTAATTAAGCAGCTACAGTGTGGCTCTGAGAGCAACACTGTTTTCTGCTGATCTTGCTGCTGCCCTTATCTGTGTCTACTACAGTCTGAATTATATTTTCTCAGTCCTGGGCTGATTTCTATTTTTCTCATTGTGGAGGAATTTTGGATTGACACCTGGTTGATGAGGAGCCAGCCTTGCTAAGATCTGGGGTAAAAGGGTTTGGGGTTCAAGGAACAGCAAATGCAAAAGCCTTGCGGCAGCGTCCTGGGAAGGAACAAATTTTGAATCTTGTAAAGGTAGAAAGAGGGTCAGTGTGGCTGGAGGACAGTGGCATGAATTGTCCTCAGGGATGCAGGCGTGGGGCCAGGATTGGACCTTAGAGGATAAGTGGTTGCAGAAGGGAAGCCATTTGAAGATTGGCCACTTCAGTCCTTCAGGAGACACTAGGTGTTGTTTTTACAGGGTTCTCTAAGGTCCAGCTGAAATACTGGAAAGAACACTGGATTCTGAGTCAAAGGTAAGTATATGTTTTAGCCCTGGCTCTGCTACCGAAGAGTGTGTGATCTTGGGCAAATTTCTTTCTTTTTTTTAAAAAAACGACTTCATTGAGATATAATTTCCATATCACACAATTCACTCATTTAAAATGTGCAATTCAATGGTTTTTAGTATATTCACAGAGTTGTGCAACTATCATCACAATCGAGTTGAGAAAATTTTCATAGCTCGGAAAAGAAACTCCATACCCTTTAGTAGTCACTATTTCTCCAAACCCACCCACACCACACCCCTAAACCACCAATCTACTTTCTGTCTCTATGGATTTGGGGACAAGTTTCTTTATCTGTGCTTCAGTTCTCTGGTCTACAAAATGGGGACAACAATTGTACTACTGGTCATTGGGTATTTGAGAGGATAAGCGAAAACTGAGTGCCATCGCTATGGTGCCACGAAAAGCCAGGTATAATGCCCAAGCGACTCGGTCCCTAATGCAACTCAATCCCACGCCCCGCCGTGCCACTCCCCTGCTGGCTGTCTCCAAGGCAACGTCAAACGGTTTCCTCTCTGAGGGATCCCTTCTCGGGGCCCGGTCTTGCTTCCTCCCTTCTCTTTTTCTCCTTACCTGACGGTTCCGCTCCGCGCCGCCGGAGGCTCCCGCAAGCCTCCCCACGGTCATCTTCTCAGCTAGGCAGAGCCAGAAGCAGCGGTGACAGTGACAGTGACGGTGAATGCAGTGGCAGCGCGGGCTACGAGGGGTCACGTTCCCCCTTTCTGGCTTTGTCCTCTGATAGGCTTCCAGGGCCGCCTCCAATCCATGCCGCCCAAAGACACAAAGGCGTTTTCTGATTGGTCTATTTTCTTGGCGCGTTTTACTTCCGCGGTGACAGTGACAGTGACGGTGAATGCAGTGGCAGCGCGGGCTACGAGGGGTCACGTTCCTCCCCTTTCTGGCTTTGTCCTCTGATAGGCTTCCAGGGACGCCTCCAATCCATGCCGCCCAAAGACACAAAGGCGTTTTCTGATTGGTCTATTTTCTTGGCGCGTTTTACTTCCGGTTCTGCGGACGCGGCTGAAGCAGCACGGGATTGGAGGGCTCTGCTCCGGAAGCACTACCCAAGGCGGGCCTCGTGCGGCTCCTGCCTCCGGGCAGGTCAACACCATGACGGCTCGGCCCGCTGTCAGCCGGTGGAGCACTGCGGCCGCAGCTTCCCGTAGAGGCCCGTTGGCCTCCTGCCGGAGGTGGTCCAGCGCCTCGGCACACACCGTGTACGATGTGGTGGTGTCGGGCGGAGGCCTGGTGGGCGCTGCCATGGCCTGTGCCTTGGGTAAGCGCATCTCCAGGCCGAGAGTGGCGGGGACCTGGGCTGTGGAGGAGCGACGAGGACCGTGGGAGCACCGGCACTGTTTGCGCAAAGACTGAGTGTCCCGGATCTCGTGGTCCATCCCCTGCCCTTCTAGAGGATCCCCACAGCCCCCGGGAACGTGTTTGGCCCTTCAGGGTCCGGAAGGGTCAAAAGTGGGAGGGGCCTTATGAGTCGATCCACGGCGTGGGGAACAGACCTGGCCAGCGTTATTTAGTTGTGGCACAGTTGGAGGGCGTCAGGCTTTGTCGCGCTGGGGTAGGCGTTTTTTAAAAACAGCTTTATTGAGATACAATTTACATTCCATTAAGTCTACCTATTTAAAGCGTACAATTTAATAGTTGTACATTCACAGAGTCGTGCAACCATCACAATAAATTTTAGAACCTCACCCTAAAAAGAAACGCAGAACCCATTCGCAGTCGCTGTTTCTCCCCATCTCTTCATCTCTTGGCAGCCACACCCCCACTTTCTGTCTTTATAGATTTGTCTTATTTGAGCAGTTCTATATAAATGGAATCTATTTAATGTTTTCGAGGTTCATCTATGTTGCAACATATCAGTACTTCATTCCTTTTGACGGCTGAATAATATTCCATTGGGTGTGTATACCACATTTTGTTTATGCATTTGTCAGTTGATGGACATTTGGGTTATCCCCAGTTTTGGCCTACTATGAATGATGCTGCTATGAACATTTTGTATACATGCTTTTGTATGGACATGTTTTGGTTATCTTGGATCTATTCCTTCCACTGGAATTGCTGGGTCATATAATAACTGTGTTTAACATTTTGAAGAATTGCCAAAGTTTTCGAAAGCGCCTGCACTATTTTACATTCCCACCAACAATATAGGAGGGTTCCAGTTTCTCCCAATCCTTGACAGCACCTGTTTTTGTCTTTTTGTGTATAGCCATCCTAGTGGGTGTGAAATGGGATCTCATGGTTTTGACTTGTATTTCCTGACTAATGATGTTGAATATCCTTTCATACGCTTATTGGTATTTGAATATCTTCTTTGGAGAAATGCCTGTTCAGAGCCTTTGCCCAGTCTTTAATTGGGCTATTTGTCTTTATTATTGAATTGTCAGAGTTCTTTTATATATTTTTGTACAGATTACTTATCAGATATATGCTTTGCAAATATATTCTTACATTTTGAGGTATTTTTACTTTCTTGGTAATTTTTTGGGGGAGCACAAAAGTTCTAAATTTGATGCAGTCCAGTTTATCAATCTTTTATCACTTTTGCTTTTGATGTCATAGCTAAGAAATCATTGCCTAATCCAAAGTCACCAAGATTTACTCCCGTTTTTTTCTAGGAGTTTTATAGTTTAGCTGTTACAGAAGTCTATGATCTACTTTGAGTTAAATTTTGTGTATTCTGTGAGGTAAGGAATTTGCCTTTACATGTTTAGTTTAAGCTGCTCCATTACCAGGTGTGGTAGATATTACTTATTTTCATATTTTATGTGAGGAAAACATGCTTAGCAAGATTAGCTAAGGACCAGAGTCTCACAGCTGGCCAGTAGTAGAGTCAGAATTTGAACCCAGGTCACCTAACTCCAGAGCTGTTGCTTTTAACAACTATACAGTGGCTTTCAGAAATTTGATTTGAATTTTCTGGCTTCAGAAATTAAAGGTCACTAGTAGTGTGAAAGTCTTTTTTGACTTCAGAATCATGGGGTGACAGACACATCTTCTCTGGGGTGGCTTCTCTTCTAGGGAATTGGTGGGAAGCAATGCTTTGTTTGAGCTAATGGGCTCAAGTCTCAAAGTAATATAAAACATAGTATCAATTATTGAGTGCTTGCTTGGGACAGCATGTTTTTAAATGTCCTACATACATTTTAATTTAATCGTCATTGTAATCCTGAGTGTAGATTGTGAAGATAAGGAAGTGAAAGCTCAGGAAGGTTAAGTGATACACCGAAACACGGGTAATTAGAGATAAAAAGCTCTTTTGAGACAGACAAGACTTTCTCACAGGTTTAGGTATGATGGTACTTCAAAAAGTTCATGGAAAATAGAATTAAAAGATAAAACAAATCTTTTTGAAGATCCCTTGTATAAACCTTTGACCCCTTGTATATAATCCCTGACAGCCTTTTGGTTGTGCCCATTGGTAAATGGGCTAAAATAGTGGTTCTCAAACTTGAGTGCATTTAGGAATCACCCGGGTTTTTGTTTTTGTTTCTCAGGTTTTCAATAACGAAGATAGGCAAAGATATAAAATTTAAAAGTTGCAAAAGGCTATAGGGTATATACTCGTAGTATAAAGTGTATAAAGTAAGGCTTCTATTATTTATTGTTAGCCCCCAGTTCTCTTCAAAGGCAATCATTGTTATCAGTTTGTATGGGAATATTTTAAAAATGAAGATTCCAGGTGACTCTGATTCATTTTGTTCAGGTTGGGCCCACAAGCCTATATTTTAAACAGTTACCTCAGGAGAGGAATGCAGATCTTAAGACCACACTTTGAGAAGGAGAAATACTGAGAAGAACTTAATTTTCTTTTAGTAACTTTACCTCCTTTTATACAATTCTCTATGGTATGTACTTGAAAAATTTTTCAGTCTTACTAAAACTTTAGTGTTCATATTTTGGTGTTTTGCTCCCGTTGTATTAGCTTTTTATTTTTTTCTATTTTGTTCCTTTTCTCATCTCCTCCCACCGCACAAGGAGGGAAAGCAGTGGTGCTTTCTTTTGTAAACTTATACACAGAATTCTGTATTGTAATTGTTTATTTTTCTTACTCTTCCACACAAGAATAAATTCTTAAAATTCGAATGAGTTTAAACAATTACAATATAGAATTCTGCTTATAAGTTTACAAAAGAAAGCTCAGAGCCATGAAAGCCTAGGGAAGCGACGTTGGAGTGGGTAGGATGGAGCAGTTGCCCTTAGGTCAAGGCAAAGAGGTATGAGGGAAAAGAAAGCAGTCCCCCTGTGCCAAGCATGTCCTCGCACCCCATTCTCCACAGCAGAAACAGCTGTGGTGCAGCTGCACGGCGAGGAGGCCATGCCCACCCGGTGGGTTCAGTGCCACACACTGCCTGTTCCATGGGGCCGACTCAGATTCTCACACTTTTTACTATGTATGTTGTAATACTGTCTCTCTTTTCATCTGGATTCTAAAATATTTTTAAGAGGTGGTAAAGGTTTGTGGGCTTTCTTTCAACATTACTAAGTAAAACCTCTAGTGTTTCTTCTCTCTCTGGTAATAATATCACAGTTTATTTTTCCTTCCTGGCAGCAGCAACTCATACCCTCTTTCCTTGTCTTTTCCCTGTAGCTTTGTCTGAAACACTGTGGAGGAGGCTATATCTGTGCTACAAAGTCAGTCTTCCAGTAACAAAGTCCCCAAGTCCCATTTTTACTTCACTCTACAGATGTTTTAGGATCAGATTTGTAGGCACAATTCATGCATTTTTTGGCCCCTTTTTCTTTCCTAAACTCTAATTCTTTATCCTTGATTTAATCTTAGGACTGCAATGAATTTTGCTAATTTATTCCATTTTTCTGTTAAACAGGAATTGTAACTTTCAGTGACTTAATACTTTGAGGGCTGGAAATATCTGGTGTCTAAATACTATAGTCTTTCTTTTTTTTACTTTTTTCCTCCCTAGGGCATTCTATTTGCTAGTTATGGGTTTTGCCACTATTTGCTTTTTTGCACATTAAATGTAGAAGACTTTGTCTGGAGAAGCCAGTTGTGGGTAGGGTGGTTCTCATGGCTGAAATGGTGGTATATGTTATTTCTTAGGACTCTGCCTGGGTAGTGTTTTATGTGCCCTGTAAGAAATTTGTATTGTAAGGGCTAAGGAATTAGTTAATCTGTTGTTTCTCTTGAAGATGGGAAAGGGAATAAATTCTTGGTTTTCCTAAAATGAAATAAAATGTTGCCCTTTTTATTTCTTTTTTTTAGGATATGATATTCACTTTCGTGACAAGAAAATCCTATTGCTAGAAGCAGGTCCAAAGAAATTATTGGAGAAATTGTCAGAAACTTACAGCAACAGAGTGAGCTCCATTTCCCCTGGCTCTGCAACCCTTCTCAGTAGTGAGTAGAAGATCCTCTCTCATAGATCCAATCTCCTTTCTCTCTTGGCTTTGCATTGTGTCTCATAGGGCAGAGTCAACAGAGCCTTTGATGCAGAGGGAGCTCACTGAAGTGGGTGGGGAGTAGGGGGTGGGTTTGTTTGTCCAGTGCATACTTGAAAATGAGGAACCCTGAAATTGTTAATGTGTAAACTCCCTGTCTGGGAAGACATCCTCGAGACATGTGGGTCCATCATGTAGACTTACTTTGTGATGTAGGTCATTATGAACTGAT